GGGGGGGGGTTTCTGTAGCTGGTCACAATAGGAGGAAACGGGCCCGTGGCATTCCACAAGCAGCGCTGACGCATCGCCTGGAGGTTTCTGGGGCAACCCTCTGCCTTACAGCGGCCTTACCCAGAGTGCACTGCAGCTGGGATGATCAATTCAACCCCTCTTACACGCTTCCACATAACTGAGGCTGAGAGCCAGAGGGTGTAATCCCACCTGTTGTTGCTCAATCTATACTGCAACAAGTGACAATCGGCATGTATCGATGGGAATAGATTACAATTTATTCTCTCGAGTATGACCTTCCTTACTTTCCAAAGTTGAACCAAAAACTTTGTTAAAATATTTTTACTTCTATTTGTACTATTATTCATCAGGGCTGATATAATCAAGATTAAATCATTGAGTCCCATATTTAGAAGGCTTTTAATCAGCTCCATGTATCAGGGTATATGAAGGAATCCTGAAGTCAAATGTAATACCTTTTAAGACCTTTTTTAAGACCCTTTTCATACGTTTTAAGACCTCATCGCCACTTCAAGTTTTAACCGGTTACATTGGCGACACACTTTACCTCACATTGACTATATACAGTATTGATTGTCCTTCCTCCTTATCTTCCAACCATTTGGACGCAAACTTGCATTTCCCCATAACGATGTTGTTTAACAACCGGCGTAAACGGACCTTCGCGCGCTATCAAGCAGTGAGTGATGTCCTGTTCAGATGACGTCAAATCCAACGGGATGCCATAAATAAACGACACAGAATCACACTACCCACCTACGCAATGATTACATTCAGGCAAACTTTAGAATACAACCTCTTTGGGCAATTTATATACTTATTGAAAACAAGCTACAAAATGTAATACCTTGGAAAATGCAGTTTAATACTTTTTAATAGCCCTCGTTTTCACTAATTTGATTTATCAACTTTTAATACTTTTTAAGACTCCGCGGACACCCTGATATATAAACCTAAGATAGTGTTTAAAGGGAAAATCCAATATAGATAGAGAAGAAGCAGAGTCTTTTCTTTGTTTAAAGAGGTCAATGCTCCACCAACAGGAGAAAAGGAAAAAGATGTGAAAACTAAACTCTTAAAACAAGGATAAAGTTGCCCACTAAACGTTGAGGCGTATTTCGGGTGCAAAACATTATATTTGTATATTCTAGCAGGTTGCATGCTTGCTCTAAAAAGCATTTTGAAGAGTCTTTCTCACAGGTGTTTGTAGGCTGGATGATATACAACAGTCTCATCAATTTGAAACAATAAATATCCTTAATGTCAAGTTTAAATCAGCAACAAATTAACTTTATAGATGTTAAAAAAAAAAGTAAAAGGATGCACCATTCCAGGTAACACACAAAAAGAACACGTATTGTACATCAAATCTGCACCTTTTGCACAATAACGTTGACCTGCACACATAACAACCCGGACTCAGATATGTATATTCATTTAATTATATTCTTTATTTACCTGTATATAGTTTTAATTGTATCTTTAGTTGTATTCATCTTGTGTGAACCTGTACTGTACTTTTGCTCTCACTCTGTTGCTGCTTAAACTCCTGAATGTCCCCAAAGGTCCACCTTACCTTATCTTATGTTCCTAAGTGTTGTCCAACATGTTTCTGTAACATCACATAAACAAACCACATTGATTTCATGACGAGAGAGTAGAAAGCTCTTCTCTCTGGCTTTTCTCTGCTGCCTCTTGTGTTTCGTGACAGCAGATACAAACAAACCCCGAGCAGAAACGGAACTGAGTCCTTTTTCAGCTGATGAATAATGGAAGGGGCCAGGAGAAGACCCCCTCAGCTCCGCTCTAAAATTAGCTCAGGAAGACAGGGAGGCTTCTGCCAACCGCTGATCCCCCCCCCAAAAAAGCCGGCTGGCTGGCTGGCTCTCCACATCCCATTATTTGATTCCTCTCTCCTGCTGAATCCTGTCATCTAATGGCGAGCCGAGGGGAGTCGCTGACCTAAACTCAGCACTCTGCCACTGCTCTCTGAGGAGAGGAAGACCAGCCTCCATTTCCCCGTCAGTCACTCAACAGAAACTAGTAGTCCTTTAACATGCTTCACTGCTTTAGTGGTTAAAGTGTGGGAGAAATATGGACAAACACTTCTATCTGAAGTAGGCCTGTGACCTAAGTGTTTCATTGCCATATCTACACTGTAACTAACGTACACATGATGACAACAAATCCTTGAATCTTTAATCTATCCGAAAATGTATAAAAACATACCTTGATATTACCACAACAATGATGCTGAAATACAGCTTGCTCTGTCAAATGTGTTTCTCTTATTTTCTTACGTATTGTCTTTCCATACATTTTAATGGTTTAGTTTAATGGTTTGGTTTATGAAGTGCGAAATATTTTTGAAACTGCTGTTTTTTCCTGAGTTCAACGGCATGGGAAGATATGAAAAGTCACAATTATCATGGCCAAAATAATTGTTATTCACGATATTATCCAAATAATCATTCAAATGAGTTACTCTTAAAGTGGCACTAGCACATACTGGAATTCAAAGACTACGTGCCAAAATAGCTACATCATTTAAAACTAGCACAGAACCACCAGAAGATATAATATGTGATGAGGGTATAATGTGTTTTTGTTATGCTGTCAATGATAAGATTACTCTGGTTAGACCCTCCAGAAAAACGCGGGCAAAAATCCTTGATTATGCGAGCTAAATTCCTTGATTATGCGATTAAACATGCAAGGTTTTTATGTGATTTTATGCGGTGAAATTGCGGGAAGTTGCGAAATATGCGGGGAAAAAGAATAACAATTTTTTTAAATATTGGGCTGTCTTATTTATTCTCTCTCACACAAAACCACGGGGTGCAGAATAGTTTCCCCCCACTTTTTGCCCGGTCTTTAGTAGAAATGTTCGTTGGTAAATGAGCTCTATACAGTGTTGTTTACATTCTGTGATGCGCGAGCTGATGACGTCACGTCAAGACGAGTTAACTTTTTTTTCTTCTCAACTTTGTGTGGAAAAATGCAGAGATTATGCGGCCTTTTGATAAATATGCGGCCTTTTAAAAATCTGCGCCATTTTGCTGATTATGCGGTAAATTCTGCGATCGCAGAATCGCGTTTTTCTGGAGAGTCTAACTCTTTTGTGTCACACGGACAACATTTCATTATCTTTACTATCCTGGGCCTGAGATAGTAGAGAGCCATGTGTCTTTGTAGGTTTTATCTCAACTATGAGTTTTGTTGTCCAATGGTATAACACTTACAAAACCAACAAATGAGAAGAAGTCAACACATAGCCGCTATAATGTGCTCATCCACTAAATCAGGGGTGGGGAACCTACGACCTCCGGGCCGTATACGGACCGCGAGACCATTTGGTACGGCCCTCGAGGTAATTTATAAACACACGCAAAAAAGAAAAAAATGCGGAAATCTAGACCGCAAAATAATTAAACAAGTGAGGAACTGTTTTTCCTGGCCAAGGTCAGGGTCCTTGAACACAACACGAGCCGAGCCAAACGTGTCATCACGCGGTATATGTCTCGTCTGACGGGTGTAGTGCTTACCGAGAGCTCCAGAACGCCGCTCCGGCACTTAAGGTACCCATAAAGGCTCAGATACACCGGCCAGTCACCTGAGAAGTCGCCGACGCCGACACCGACTGTTGCGTCGCCGGACTCACTGGAACACACCGCAAATCCGAGCCGAGCACGTATGAACTGCGTATGCGTGAGTGGCAATAACTCTCCTTACCAGCAGGCGGCGGTAGTGTGTATTCATCATTCAAAAGAGGCAACAACCGGAACAACCGGAAGACAGAGAAGAAGAACAGACTCCGTGATATAAACAAACAACGCTAACGCTTCTCATGCACTGATTCGCTAGCTGAACAGCCAATCAGTGTTATCCTTTTGTCCGTCTTCCGGTGGTGTTCTCGACGCCGACTCAACATGTTGAATCGGCGAGAAAAGGCATCAGGTCGGCAGAAAAGACCCGACGGTGCGGCGCACAGCACTCCGAATAGGGCGTGGCCACGCTTA